TGTTAGCTTCTGGAGACAACAGAAAGAATTCATACATGTACATTTCTTTTTCATACTTTAAGCACTGAGGAACTGGAGGGAAATTTCAGCACTGATGAATGTTAAGGTATCACAGAGAAATCAAGTTTACTCCCTTCCTTGTCAGGTTACAAAAAAGGGAAGGAAGAAAAGATGGAAGAGGAGAAGGGAATTTATAAGGTCCAGAGCTAAGTGGATCCAAGAGGTTCTGTACATCACCTCTCAGAGGCTCTGGGAGGAAGCAGAGCTGAAGAGAAATGCACTGTTCGGATGGACCAGGCTGATAATGGCTGTGACAAGGTGTTTTCAGGGAGTCAAAATAGAGAGCTTGGAACACCACACTGACATCCAAGTGTATCAATGACCAGAACAGGGCAGGTAGATATCTCTTGATGCATATAACTCAAATATTAGCTTTCTTCTTCCACCCTGCTGAAGAACGTGATAAACTTGGTGCAAAGAGAGTACTTGATTAAGGAAAAATAAGGTACTTGAATTCGTTTTGTGTTCAGATGCATTTATTAAACAAACTGATTATAGAACAAAACTTATATTCATTTCTGCCCACAGCATTAGACCAATTTATTATAATTATGTTCTACTGTATACGTTTTATGTGGCTGACCAAAAAGCATTCATTTTGACTTGCACAAGGGTAATACCCAGTTAGGAGAGATAAGCATCCATACTGGTGGTATGGAACCCACTTGAGTACATGGTAGAGCAAGCTAATGGTGGCACAGGAGGGAAAATCAGAGGTGTAGAGAGGAGTCAGACACTTGGTGGTTAAAGTCACTTGGGCTGTGCACACTAATCAAGGAAGTCTGATGAAGGAGATGATGGCTGTCTTCAGATATTTGAAAGACATATTGTAAAGAATAGAATGTCCTCATTCTGAGTGGAATCTAAAGGCATGAATGTTTGCTTCAATCAACAGAAAAAGGAAGTCTCTCATTGAGTGTTCATCAGTGGCATGGGATTCCAACGGATGTTCAACATTAATTTTGTCAGGAATGTTGTCAGAAGATTCCTGAGTAGGGAGGAATATGGGGGGGTGGAACTTTCAATTTTAGGATGATATGGCATATGGGACAGACGGAGGCAAACTAGAGTTCCAAATTCCAGGGAATCAAATGAATGCTATATGTCCTAGCGCATTGCATCTGTCAACTAGTTAGGCTTATTTTTACAAATCAGGTTTATATTTACACAACAAATAGCCAGAGTTTACAGTAGTGGTCAAGTTCAGGGTCAAGTTTTGAGTCAGGTATATTTTATTAGAAGATTGTGTATTTTTTTTACTATAAACTTCATCTCTTAAACATGTCCTTAGTCTGAGGACATAACCATCTAAATATACAGATGTGATAAACATCTTCACCAATGATGCTCATAAGCACACTGAAATATTTTGCCTGGGATTAATAGGGTTTTAGATGTATCAATGTATAATTCACAAACATAATTTTGTTGTGTTATTGCACAATAGCATATCTAAGTAACTACATGTCCATCTTCTAGACTTGGTTTCACCCAATATGATACTTAATTTTACATGTTAACTTGGCTATAGTGCTTTAATATTTTTAATTTTTTTCTTTTTTTTTCTTTTTGTCAGTTGTGGGGCCTGAACTCAGGGCCTGGGCACTGTCCCTCAGCTCTTCAGCTCAAGGCTAGTGCTCTACCACTGGAGCCACAGCACCACTTCCAGCTTTTTTTGCTTATGTGGTGCTGAGGAATTGAACCTAGGGCCTCATGCATGCAAGGCAAGCACTCTACCACTGAGCCACCTTCCCAGCCCCTGATTTTTAATTTTTAAGATTATCATTAGGTGTACGAAGGAAGGGGTTTCGATTCAATGTATGAAATTTTTAATACGATGCATCCTGATCAGTGTCACCTCTTCCATTTTTCTCCTCTGACCCATTGATTTCAATCCCTCAAACATTGTTCATGCATCATTCTGGATGTTTCTGTGAAGGTATATTGCAGATGAGAGTAATATTTAAATCAGTTGTCTTCTTTATAATGTCCCCCAGCTTTATCCATGTGGTCACAATGACAAATTTTCCTTCTTTGGCATCCTACTGGGCATATACACTACATTTTCTGTATCCATCCATCCTGTGATGAACAAAATAAGAAAAGCACATGATCTCACATTTGGAATATCAAACAGTCAAGAAGAAGAGAGTAGAATGGCACGATGGGTTATCAGAACGTGCGGTAGTTGGGAGTGGGAAATGTTGATTACGGGGTACAAAATGTCAATTCAGAGGAAAACATTGTTGAGGTCTTTTGCACAACGGATAAATATAGTTATTAATAATGTGGTGTGCATTTCAAAATTACTATCAAGCAAATTACTATCAAGCAAAATTCACAACTTCTTACCACAGAAAACCCCAAATAGGTGAGATAATGGATATGTCATTTAGCTCGATTTTTACGATCTCCTCTTGTCCACCTCTATCAAAATTTTACATTGTGCCCCATAGAGATGTAACTCGTCAAGTAAAAGTAAATACAAATTCAAAAGTAATCTTAGAAGTAACTAAAAGAGCAGTGGACTCTGGAGCAGATTTTCTCTGATCATCTAATCACATATGACCTAACAGACAGAAGACCGACCTCCCCCCACGAAGGAATAACACCCACAGACTGCCTCTGTAATTTATCCACCTCTAGTCTGCTTGCCAACTCTAGACTCATACCTGCAGAATCCTACGGGACCCATACCTGGAACTAAAGCTCTCTCTATACCTCACCACAAGCCTGCAATCACTCTGCATGGAGAACTCTGGTGAATGCAGTTCTTTATATTTCTTTGTCTGCCCTTAGGTTCAGGGCTACTTCTGGCGTAGAACTACACTCAAGAGCTTGCAAGCAGCCTTTAGAGGAGACCATAGCCTTAAATGCTCTTGTGAGAGACACGGAGCTCAGCTGCACCCAGATTCGTGTTCCAGAGAACTGTGAAGTCATGTTGCTTAAAAAACTTTATGAGTGGAATTTTATAGAAATTTCCTTGGGATAATCTGATATAACTGAGACAGCATTAAATTTAGAGTCTATGGACCTCTGAAGGGGGGGGTCAAGCTCCCAATCACCTGACTAGACACCCAGGGTCATGGCTCCCCACAGCTGCGGTCTGTGTGCACTGATAAGGTTTTATTGCCCAAAATGCTGCTATAAATATCCAAATGGCCCTTGGCAGAGAAAAAGATTGTCCACCCCTTGATTCGGTTCTCTGGATCTCGTTTCCCTGCTGGTAACCTGAATTTCTTCTAAATGCTACAATCTCTATTAAACCTTCTTCAAAGTAAATACTACTCACACACCCAGGACTGGCCAGGCCTATTGGTTTGGTGGCAGTATTCCAGCTTTGTTGGCTTGTTTTTCCAGTTTTTTGCTGGTCCTGTAGGGCTTGAACTCAGTGCCTGGATGCTGTCCCTGAGTCTCTTTGTGCTCCAGGTTAACTCTCTACTATTTGAGCCACAGCACCACGTCCGCCATTTTCTGAATAGTTTTTCTGCCTAGGTTTGGCCTCGAACCACGATCCTCAGATCTCAGCCTCCTGAGCAGCAAGGATGACCCGCACGAGCCCACCTGTGCCCTGTTCCAGCTTGATTTTGCTTTAGAAGAATCTCCACTCAAGTCCTGCTCTACTTGCTTCGTCCTTTTCACCCAACAGTTCTCTCCCACCAGCCAGGTGAAATAACTTGGGGGGGGGTGGCATTTCTGCAGCTGGCCGGGGGCATGCGGGCGCACACAGGGGGCCGTCCAGCCCCCGGGTGTGGGCACAGTGGTGACCTTTGGCAAGGACGCCTCTGGCACGGGGTGAGCACACACACTGGGAAGAGACCCACTTGGAAGAGGAAGCTCTTTATCACCCTCACCCCCCTCCCTACCATCACCAGGGGTGCGTCCCTACGAAGGAACAGCGGCAAGTCAACCTCATCATCATCATCATCATCATCATCATCATCATCATCATCATCATCATCATCAATAAAGTATGCCCATCTTCCCAACACCCGGTGAATAACTTCTCTGCAAAGATGTTTGATTTTCACGAGAAGGGGAGACAGGAGAGATGCAGGGAAGAGGAGGGAAAGGGAGAGAAAGAAAGAGGCCGGCGGGGAGAAGGAAGGGCCGAGCCGGTGGACCCCGGGGTCGTCCCTGGCTCCCGGTGCAGGGGCCCCGCACGCGCGGGCACGGGGCTGGCTGGCTGATGCCCACATGGGCTCAGGGTCTCCCGGGCGCACGGATCGATCGATCGGGCTTTCGGGTCTGCCCCGTGGCCCTCGCCTCCCTCCCGGGG